TATAAATCAATGTTAATTAAAAATTATTATAAAAAGCAAATAAAAATTCTATACTATTTTATATATTTTTAGCTTATATTATGTACTAGATGATTATCCGCGTACATGCGCGAGATGAATTTATATTCCTATTTGTATTCAGTAAAATCTATAAAATTCATTAATACAATGATTATAAATTCAAAACTCATACTGTTCTAATCTATATTGACATTAGTAAGAAAATCTCTTACGAGCACAATATATTGTATATTATTTGTATTTGTATATGGTCGTAAAGGTTATAACAATAAAGATCTTTTTTTACTAACAATTGGGTTCGTTTAGCATTTTTTTACTAACAATCGGGTTTCCAAAACAGAAATGATACCCACCGATATAAATCGGGTCGTCTGTCTATAACCGAAATAAAACTGAACATATTCATTTCGGGTCAAATTATACATACGGAAATGTAATAATGTAATTTTAAACATAAATATAATTAATTGTCATTTATATTATAATCATATTAGGTAATTCCGTACCTTCTATTTAAGGAAATAAGGAAAATATTAATTGTACAATATTAATTAATTTTGTGATTAGTTTAATAAAAGCTATAATATATATTTAATGGACCAACATTTTTCTCTAGAAACTTTGCGAAGCATTCTAGTAATGACACATGCCATAGCTAAAATGTTGTAATGCTTCTTCTTTTAATATATAGGGAATTATATTAACATACAAGTTCTATATGAATTAAATATGAAAAAAATATTAAATATGTAAATTGATGTTTTCATTTTAAAATATTTTCACTTAAATAAACTATCACTCAAACATTAAAATGTGTTCAATTTGTAAATTATATAAAATTAACATATCTTAAAATTTTATATCTACAACTACATATTTTCTTTTTATTTATTTGAAACTCTCAACAGTATTTTGTTTTAAAAAATAAAGAAAAATATAATAGTTTATGACTAACCATTAGTTTATATACTATTTAATAATATGTTATTCTACAACTATGAAATTTCAATAATTAAGTTAAAATATTAAAGAAATATCAAATATTAATTATAATTTAATATTTATATCAACTATAAGAAAATCTGTTGAGGAATGTATAAAAACTCTTACCAAAAATTAAACTTAAATTTTATAAAATAATGTATTTTATGTAGTAAAAAAATCAAAAATCATATAATCTTCAAATTCAAAAATATTTGTGTAATTTTTCAAATTATTTTTGAGAAAATATAAAATTTTGAAAATAAATATTCAAGCTTTTTAACTGATGATATTTCAAATTTTGCAGATGATAAAATCATAAAGAATAAAGAATAACTTTTTGAAATGTAACACGAAAAACGAACTAATGCTGTAAAAATTAAAATAATATTATATTTTGAAATCCTAATTTAAATACAAAAAAAAACTTAATATTATAACATCCAAAAAAATTCTATATCAATAAATCTATTAAAATAATATGATATATGCTACTGTGTATACAATTCACTAAAATAATATATCTATATTATTTAAACAAAAGAGTGTTACACAATATATAATACTAAAATGAAAATTATATATTTAAATATTTATAATAACACCAAAAATATACATTCATAAAATGAAAAATATCCGCACGAATGTGCGGGTCAAAATCTAGTCTATATTATTAAAGCTGAAATATATTTTAGTATTGTTTGAAAACATGAATAAAAGTGTAAATAAGAATTGTTTGGAAACATAAATAGTAGTGTATTTTTAGTAATTAATTTTGTTTACATATTTAGCCATTGCATTTATAATAACTTAAATATCTCATTTTGTTTATTTTTATTTAGAGATTTCACCATTACATTAAAAATAAATTTAAATTAATTAATTAAAATTCCAAAGTTGATGATGTTATAGATAATATAGGAATATCAATTACAATATAGTATATATTATATAGCATAATTTTTAAATATAGTATTACCTTTTTAAATTTAATCAAATAAAAATTAAGAGTTTGGTTTTCAACAAAAAATATCATAAAATTGATGATAATTCATAGAAAACAAATACAAAAAATTAAAGTTTTTAATATGTTGTTTAGTATGTTATTTCATTTTAAAGTAAATTAATAAAGATAACAGGCTAATGCATGAATAGTACAATTACATCAAGATATATAATCTTAACATAATATTATGTACAAATAAATAAATTATTATCAAACATCTATATTATAAGATAATATATTCCACTCTATATGTAAATTAAAAATATTAAAATATATGGGATTTTTCTATAAAACCAGCAATTTATAAATTTTTGCTGAATACAAGTTAAATCAAACACTTGTGCGGAGGCGCAGATCAAATTGTAGTGTATGTTATATCAATAACTTTTAAGTCTATGATCCACATAATGTTAGTAGAATAAAAGATGATATCTGCTTATGGAGAGTTAATGACTGCTAAGCTTTACCTATATGCAAAACGTAAGGGAAAATGAGATTGAGAAACACACAGAACACACACGTCTAACACCTAAGGTTTGTCTCCTGCCAGTTTGTCTTCCCACTTTTCAAATCCAGATATGCACTCTAACCTTGTTGATGCGTGCCATGTAGTAGGGTTATGTTGTAATCACAACTCCTGATACCATGAAGAAGCAATTAAACAGAATGTGGGTGGTCAGGTTCTTGGTGTCTTTTACTGAAGAGCTTAATCTAGAACATGGGCAAGAGGCTCTAGACCAAACATTTTGTTGGGATATAGTTCATCGTTTTGTTTTACTTCTACCACATGTGGTTAACAGCTTTCTCTATCATTGGTGTAATATGACACAGACACTATTAGGGAATCCTATTCTATATAGGATTACCTATTTAGATAAATGTTAATCTAATAAGATAATGATCAAGATTAGTCTAAAGACTATTGTGTTTAGTATTACTAGTTGCATACCCCCCGCGCAAGCGCGGGGCTAAGGATCCTTGATGTTTATCTGTGTTTTTTTCGGTTGTTGGTTTAATGGGTTATTCTAATAATACCAAATAATGATGAAATGGAAAGAATGTAGCAAGAGTGTAAAGTGAAAATATTATATATATAATGTGTTAAATGTTATTTATATGTGAAGTAAGGTTTATAAGAATAACGAAATTATAATATAGTTTCTAGTGTATAATAATAGGTGTCTATCTTGTTTTTATTTTTTTTTATTGGAAATAGTTTTTATATCAGAGGTCAAAACTTGATATAATTATTTATTTATAGTATTTATATTTATACTAAACGATTTATCAATTTGAAAATAACTTTAATTTAAGCTAATATTTGTTGTTTGGGTTTCAATAGATAGGTTTGGATATTTTTTTTGTAAGTTTGGATTTTGTTTATGAATAATATGAAATTTTTATTTACGGCGTCATCGACTTGGAAATCCATTCGCCGGAGTCTGATAAAAATGAAATTATAGCAACTATTAAAAACTGAAGAGAAATTACATAGTTATTTTATAGATAACAAAAAATACTTAATTTTGTTGTTTTATTTGATTTCACATACATAATTTTTTGAAAATATATATTTGAAAATATGTTCTAACATAAATATATATTAGGACATGATAGTGCCGCGTGAGACTCGTTTAATTTTTAGGGATGAAATGGAAATAATGTAGCAAGAGTGTAAAGTGAAAATATTGTATATATAATGTGTTAAAAGTTATTTATATGCGATGTAAGATTTATAAGAATAACTAAATTATAATATAGTTTCTAGTGTATAATAATAAGTGTCTATATTGTTTTTTATTTTTTATGTTGGAAATAGTTTTTATATCGAAGGTCAAAACTTGATATAATTATTTATTTATAGTATTTATATTTGTATTAAACGATTTATCAATTTGAAAATAACTTTGGTTTAAGCTAATATTTGTTGTTTGGATTCAGTAGATAGGTTTGGATATGTTTTTTTGTAAGTTTGGATTTTTTTCATGAATAAGGTGGCATTTTTATTTACGGCGTCATCGAGTGTGGAAATCCATTCGCCGGAGTCTGATAAAAATGAAATTATAGTAACTATTAAAAATTGAGAGAAATTACATAGTTATTCTATAAATAAAAAAATACTTAAATTTTGTTGTTTTATTTTATTTCACATACATAATTTTTTGAAAATATGTTCTAACAGAAAATATATATTAGGACATGATAATGTCACGTGAGACTCATTTTGTTTTTTGTTTTTTGGACTGTTTGTTTTTTGATCCTTTTTTAATTGTTTTTGGGTTTGAATTCGTCAAACTTTAGGATTTTTCTCACTATTTTTCGTTTTAAACAATAAGTCCAGAGGAAAAAAAAATATTAGAACATTAAAACTAAAAAACCATATGATAATAATTCAAACAAAAAAAACTAAAATACATAACAGCTACGCAGTTTGAACCCACACACTTGTGGACTTCATTAGATGTCTTATACCACTGGGCTAAAGTATATTCATTGTTCATATTCATTTTTAACAAACTCTAAGCTTTTAAAATTTAAATATACGGGACCGACAAACTTGCTGACGTTGACAGCTTTAGGAGCCTTGAAAGTGTATCATTATAATATAGATTTTAGTTGGCTATCTACTTTCATATATAGAATTGTAAGATTCAATTATCAATAACAAGTTTACATTCAATATCAAAGTCTTATCTTTATAGACTCAGTTCTCATATATAAATATAAGATAATCAAACATCTATATATGAAACCGAAAAGACACAATCTCCTTAAAAGAAAACTCAAATGTTTTGTACAGAACAAATAATAAAGAAGTTCATCTCAAAAAAAAAAAAAAAAATTCTCAGGATACCCTTTTGAATTGTTTTTGTTTGTTTGTTGAGTTTCTTATAAACACACCAAGAAAGGTAGATCATAATCAATAGTATGATATGTGAGAGCATCCTCATTTCCCTAGTATAAGAAATGATCACACATTATCAAACATCTTTTAATAAACTTTGCTTACTTCCTCGTTACCTAAACCACCACTTTCTTGGCATGATGATCTGTGTGGCTCACGAGCCAGCTCAGCAGCTAAGCAATGTTGGAGCTCAGACACGATCTGGTTCATTGTTGGTCTGTCATAGCCTCTGTCTCTGACACAAGACATTGCGACCTCCACAAATTTCCAAGCTGAGTCCGATGAGAAGTCGTCACGAAGCAGCGGGTCAACGATGCCTTCAAGTTCTCCGGTCTTTAAGATAGGCTCCACGAAATGGACGACACTGATTTTGATACCGTCTTCGTTTTTTACGATGGCTCGCTGGCCAGTGATGAGTTCAAGAAGAACGATACCAAAACTATACACGTCACTCTTCTCATTTAGCATAAACGTCCTATAGTATCTGCCACCAAACACACGTGTGATTTGTCTAGTTATTAAATATCTAACTTGCTTAGAGCATCTCCAATCAATGGAGGTTCTTACCATTCGAGTCTTAATATATATGCTATGTGTATATATATATATAATTATGGGATCCATAATTTTTTATAGATATCCATAGGTAATGGTTTTTAAAAGATCCCACAATTATTTACGAATCTATAATATATATATATATACATAATACTTATATTAAGAACTTCTTTATGAGATTCCACAATAATTATAGACCTCACAATTATTTATGCATATAATATATATATATATATAATACATATATTAAGAGTATACCAATAGGGAGAACCCCATTGGAGGTGGTCTTATGAGTCCCATATAATAAGACTTTTTTGCCTAATCTTATGTGTCACTTTGATAGGTGTTAAAGATTGAGGTGAATCGGAAAATTCACCACATGGAGGGGGTGAACCCAAATCTTGGTGGTAAATAATCTAGGTGGCAATTTTATTGGTGATAAGAGGTGTGGTGAATTTAAAGATTCACCATAGGGGGTGAACCTAAGTTTTGTTCTTCTTATTTATGTATGTATTTACAATTTAAATTGGTTACTTCTGATGTCAAAAAAAAAAATTGGTTACTTCTATACTTGTATAACTGAATTAGCCAGCCCTGGGTCTTTATTTACTAAACTAAAACTTACTCAGGATCAATGTAGCCGGGAGTCCCCATGACGGCAGTCTCGACGTGGGTGAGATCGTCATCAGGGAAGACTTTAGAAATGCCAAAATCAGCAATCTTGGCTTCCAAATTATCGTTTAATAGAATGTTTGCTGTTTTAACATCTCTGTGTATAATTGGTGGCCTGCATCCACGGTGCAAGTACTCCAACCCTGACATGGAGAAAACAAATAAAGGCCGGGTTTCACACCTGAACCAGACTAAACCGGGGTAATATCTCAGAACCAACCTTGTGCAGAGTCTATTGCTATATGGAGTCTTTTTCCCCAGCTAAGATCCTCTGTGTTCTCAAGATAATTCTGCAAGTTGCCATTGGCCATGTACTCGTAGATGAGAGCGGTGCGATCATCATCGCAGTATCCGATAAACGATGCTAAGTTCCGGTGATGCACTGTCAAAAGAAGCTCCGCCTGCAAAACATTTTACACTTCATCAACCATGAAACAATGTTAAAACAATCTGATTAGTTTTTTTTGTGTTCTTAAGATTACCTCGACTTGGAATTCTCTGGAAGCTCGGGATGATGATGATGATGATGATCCTTTAGGTATTCCCAATGAAGAATCCTTAATCATCTTTACAGCAATTTTAGTCCCATCTTCGAGAAACCCGAGGTACACAATACCATACCCACCTTTACCTATCACTTTATTGAAGTTGTTTGTAATGCTAGAGATTTCATCATATGTGAACCTTCTCTTCCCTGAAGGCAGGAGTGGTCCTGGTCCTGAGTTCGCTCCTGTAACTAAACACTCTTTTTCCATTTAACAAAAATTTGACCGACTTCAATTTATAACCTGTGAAGTAAAATTACAAACAGCTCACCTCTTTTCCTTTTCCTTTTCCTTTTCCTTAGTATGATCAATATGATAACCAAGACCACAAGGAGAACCATCACTGATGTAACTACAACTGTTTGCACGAGTTTGTTGTTCTTCTTCTTTTCTTGACATGAATGCGGGTTACAAAGGTTTTGGTCATCGACACTGGAGACAGATAGACAGAGGAAATTATCAAGATTTAGAATGATAGACCGATAGAGTAACTTTTTTTAAAAAAAAAGCTGGAAAACACTACCTGAGTGTTAGTGAACCGTCCTTTAATTTCTTCATTAGAGATTCTGGGATAAACCCAGTAAGATCATTTCCTTTCAAATTCCTAGAAACACAAGCACATGCGTCAACATGCAAATTCGTTAAGAAAAAAACAGACTATGTATACATGTGCTCCCTTACAGTGATTTCAAATGCTTCAGATCAGCCAAAAACTCAGGCACATTATGTTGTAAGTCGTTGTGTGATAAATCCCTGGGAACAATGCATACATCTCTTACAATTAGCCTGAATAAAATGGTGGAAAGTAGGTAGGCATTTTACTCGGACCCAAAAATCCAAAGCAGAACCAACCCAAAATACATGTGTGGTTCAGATTCGGATCTATGCTAAAGTACCTATTTGGGTATTTTCTGGGGACCTTCAGTTTTGGTTTAGGTCCGACTCCTACCCGAGAGCCGATCGGGTACTCGGAATACCCAAAATATTTATATATTAGGTATATTTGCATATTATGAATATACTTTCGGTATTACAGATACCTGACTTTTTAAGTAACCAGGTTTATTTTTCTTATATACTTTCGGTTTTTGAGTAAAATTTTAGTTTTTATTTGGGTCTTCGAGTCATGTTTCAGGAAATTGTTTTGGGTATTTTTGGACATTTGATTTTTTTGGGTATTTTCAGGTTTTTTAGGTATATCGGATAAATTTATTCCTGGGTTCTGAACTTTTAGGTTCATCAACCAATAGTATCTTGTTATTTTATATTCAGATATTTTGAATTTTTTTTTTTTTTGGTTTCTCCTACTTTAGATGTATTTTAATTATAGGACCCGACTTGGAACCAGAAAGAACTAATCTGAATTTTCAAATATCCACTCGAATCGAGGTGAAGGATCCGGATCTGGTGGAAACCAAAATTCGACCACAGGAACCAAATGCCCATGCGTAGTGGAAAGTGTGCATGTATGTGTATATACTTACAATGACTGAAGAAAGGAGAGATTTCCAAATGCCAATGCTATAGGTCCTTGTAACCCGCTTGAGCTAAGATTCAGGGACGTGATATGCTCACTAGAGTTGTTATAGCTGCACCCAATACCTTCCCAACGGTACAGTCTTGGAGAGCAAGGATCACCACTCCAAAATCTTTCCACTTTATACGTTGATTTTATGCTTTCCATCGCGTGAACTGCATTATTAGCATGAGAAAATGTGAGTCTTAGTGGAAATGAAATGTTTGCAAAATCTCACAGAGTCTAAGTAGAGAAATGGGAACACACTTTCTTCAATCGCTGTGGAAAATTCATCAAGAGACTGGGCTGTAAAAATCTCAATAGCATTGAGAATTGGTGGAAGTGTAGAATCTGAAGCCTTCTGAACAGAAATCAAGTGATCTTTACCAGTGAAAGCTCTTGAATTAGACACTGTCATCGAATAATTTGAAGGAATGAAAAAATATTCAGAAACAGGGGAACCATTCCATAATATCTTGATCTTTCTACTCTCATTCTTTTCGAGCTTCTCTATTTCCGCGAAGTAAAGATAAGCGTAAAACCGAACATCTGGATCTTGTGATGTCCATAACAGTTCCAGTGGATCATCAGCGCTTTTAGGCGAAGCAGCTGTCTTAACAACTTCATCGGGAGGCCAATAACTGGTCTGAAAAACATCGATATAAGCAGATGTTACAATAGAGTTCCAAGAGGTTCGGGAGTATGGAGACCATATACGATCAAATCTATCGTCATGGTACCGTCCTGTTCCCTTTAATGATCCTATATCCCATCTTCGATAGAGTACTAATGAGACATTTTTTCCAAACTCAGTACCGTAACTTGAGCTGTTCACTGGCCTGAGCTCCAAGCCTGAGATAAAAGGAGTTCCTTTACCTTTATTCACAAGGCAAACGTATATTGTCTCTGACTCAGCATAGGTTAGTATCTCTTTGTTGACTTGCTCAGCAGCGTCCTTGAACTTAACGGTCGACCAGAAATTCACGTTTAGGTAGAGATCGAATTCGGGCAAGGGCTGATCGTTAATACCATCATCGTAGTTTCCATACATAAATGAAGCTCGGATGAGATAAAGATTATCTTTCGCATTTGAAGGTTTTAAGGAGTAACAGTTTCTGTTTCCTTGAGGGAAAGCTCTGACTTCTGCAAGGACTGCAGGCAAATTCACGTTTTGCGTGTACCCGTATTCTTCAGCGACTTTGAAATTTACGCCAGTGGTTATGAAAGCATCATCAGGGGAGTAATTGATACCAGTAACAACGTCCATATAGGTTTTGTTAGGAGGGTGTATGCCACAGTCGATGCTGATGTAACCTGGATCAGAGGAAAGTAAAGGTAGGTTACTTCCAACACAAGCAACATTGTTTTATGACGTTTTGCATTATTACTTGGACAAAACAAGACAGGATTAATGATCCGTTCTTCTCCGTAACTCAAGCTTTCTTCAGTTTACACGACTCAATTTCAAAGTAGAAACACAGATAGGAGAAGAAGCGAACCTTCTCGGTTTATGCTGTGACCTAAAATAGTGCTGGCAAGGGAAAGCATAAGACTGAGAAAGAGAGAGAGATTAGCTTTCATCTTCTTCTCTCTTTTGTCTTCTTCTTCTTTTCTCAACTTCTCAGCTTATCATCGTCAAGAAACAAATACGCAGACAACGTGCGATGTTGCGATCAAGTTAACAGAAACACTAAAAAGTACGAAGTCTTCTCCTATTATTTTATTAGCACCAAACAACTTGCAGATTTTTTTTTCCACAGTTTTTTGACTAGGGTCACTAACCATCGTGTCATCTACTCTATTAAAATAGAGTCATTCTTTTTATCTATTGATACAAGTTGTCATTTAAATTTGGACCATTTCTAGAATGTTACAAATAATATAAATCATATAATTGATTGAACCGTATTACTTAAATTAAACCAACACAATTAATGTAAAAATACGACTTTAATGTAAACTACCTTCAAAATTTGGCAGGTATCTATGAGTATACCAAAAACCCTTTTTTTTTCCTACAAATATGGAATGTTCTAAAAGAATATATATCATTACAATATGTAATATGTAAATCTACTAATTACGTATACTTAAATTAAACCAGTGGTTATTTATAGAATATAGTCTTTGACTTACTTTTATTTTTTGAACAAGTTATATAGTTTGGTTTTTTTGGCTTAGTATTAAGAAAAAACTCCAAAAACATTGAATAAATTTTTCACCTTAAAAGATCAAAAAATCAATTATTATTTTCAGACCCAAAAGGTATTTAATATTTTTAACAAAACAAAATTATCTATTATTAATCATTTATTTAAATCATGTACTTTAAAACATGTTAATATATTTTTTTATTTTAAATAACAATCACTTTGTTTTGATAAATTTCAATGGTAACTTTTAAATAATTTATTGTTTTATTTTTCTTAAATANCAGACCCAAAAGGTATTTAATATTTTTAACAAAACAAAATTATCTATTATTAATCATTTATTTAAATCATGTACTTTAAAACATGTTAATATATTTTTTTATTTTAAATAACAATCACTTTGTTTTGATAAATTTCAATGGTAACTTTTAAATAATTTATTGTTTTATTTTTCTTAAATAATTTACTGATTAAAAAAATCTAAAGCAAAACCAAAAACCAAATCTAAAAACTAAAATCCAAAACCAAAAGCTGAAAACACATGTTATATTTTTTTGCTTTGTTTATTTACAAAATAAACTATTTCAATTTTTTTTAAAAAAAATTTGTTATCATCTTTTCAGTTTTAAATTAGATGTTCGATTATTTGAGATTTGTTTGTTGGTAATATTAGTTCAAACTAACTCAGCGGGTTTAAAAATTAAAAACCAAACCAAAAACTGAAAATGAAAAGTAGAAACTTAAAAACTAAAAACCAAAAACCAAAAACCAAAATCTAAAAATAAAACTGAAACTAAAAACTAATGAAAAACAATCATCACCACAAATTTTGGTGAACTGAATTTATATCAAAATATTCTTTAAATTAAGACAAAACCCAATTATATAAATTTTTAATCATAAAAAATTTCCACGCTTTCAAACGCGGGTCAAAATCTAGTTCACGTTTTAAACTAGGGCCACACTTCTGACTAGGGTCACGTTTTGACATAAGGGTTGATTAATCATGAACAAATGATTGTGTAACTAAGAGACTTATCATTTTCAAAATTACATGAACTATATAATTCATACGATGACATCTTTGAAGTATTATGTATGCATACGAGATATAGATCAAGAATTCAAATGCAATGTTTTACAAACCGATAACATGTGGAACTATGTTAAATGTCAATTATAAGTTGTCAGATTGTATGACAATCATTTTTTCCACTTTTTCATCTATGATATATTTTGATGTTACTATTCAATCAAAATATTTGACACCAACCACTTGGACCAGATTCGATTTAGAAAGCGTTTTAGCAAATATACATCGAAGCATTAAAAGATTGATGTCCTTAACACATAAACCGTTAATATTTCAAAATACTATTCTCATAGATACATTTCATTTTCTCTACAGTTATATGCCTTTGTTAGGCATCCCACATCTAAATAACAAGAGTACAATCCATTCATTATCAATTGGTTTTGACTTTGAAAACTCAAAAAAAAAACTCTTTTTAAAACTGTCTCGTAAAAACGAAGTTTACAAAGTTGGGAGAGAGTTCAGGCCAATGGCTCGTCTTAATTTAAAGAAGCAGTGACTTTGGAGCCTTCTTAACCTAAGGTCAACTTTTGTTCCAAGACCATCCTTTGTGTCCGCTCCACTACGAGCGAGATTCACCTCTCCACCACGGGTCCCTTTCCGGGCACCGGAGGTTCAAGGATATTACCTGCGCAAATAACCAAAATAGCTAGACTTTGTCGTGTTATAAAGATTTTGAAGAAAATTTCAGCAGATATGAATAAAATAAAACTTAATATCTTTGATTAACTTGATGTTTACAGACAGAGAGAGAACACACATTTTTATTACAATAGAACTTTTACAGGACTGGGAGAAAGGGATCCTCGCAGATTCATATATCCTCTGAAAGACACAGAGCATGAAATTTGTTATTGCATTCAAACTTAAGAAAAATCCAGCTGCCAAGACTTCATATCAAATGTAAGATCATCAACATGGTCTACAAAGGCGTCAAGTACTGTACCATGATCCACTAAACCTTGGACTTGAACACGTCTGATAACGTTCCTTTCGGGATGGAAGTAGAAAACGTAAAACGGTTCCGAGTGAGAATATTTTCGTTTCATCAAAACAATTTCCCCAGTAGCTGACGTCACTCCAGCTACGTAAACCTTGAACACATCACATTCAACGTCACGGAATTTATCACCAGATAGAGTGTAGGCATACTCCGACCAATCCTGTTTCTCGTCGTCATCCTCTAGAACCCATATACGCACCTCCTCCTTGCTAGGAGGATACACGCCTACTCTACTATCCCAGGTTTCCTTTGGCCAGCTAATCACACCTAATTTACCCTTATAGTTTATCGATCTTGAATCAGAATCAAGAAAACGTCTGATATCTTGTGATTTTCATTGAATTAACTAACCATTTCTTATGCATATTAGAGTTTAGGATTGCATAAAAGCATTTTTAGGTTGCATATCCATTTGCATTTGTTTACATTAGGTGATGGAGTACCTCAAGAAGCTTTTAAGGGAGTTTGGAGTAGTTTTGGTTCAAGAAAGGCTGAAATGATCAACTTGCGAATTTCAAGGGTCACAGCAAGGTCTGAGCGCGAGGTTAGGGGGTCGCGGTGTCTTGAGCGAGCTTCAGCGCGGGGTCTCACCCGACCTTTAGACCCCGCTCTGGACAGAACTTACCCGGAGATGAGTCGTGCATCAAGTGTCACTGCGGGGTCACACAGCGACCAAGGAGGGTCGCTCCAGGTTGAGCGTGCGCCAGCGCGGTCTTTTCACCCGACCTTTAGACCCCGCTGTTGACAGGACATCCGGAGAGCATCAGGCAAGTGTTGGAGCGAGGTCACACAGCGACCTTGGGAGGTCGCTCCAGTTCAAGCGGGCACCAGCGCAGGGTCTCACCCGAGTTATGGGGGTCGCTCCAGCACTATTCACACTCGAGTTTATGTTTTATTTTGGGCCTAATTAACCTGTGAGTTAAGCCCATTAGCGTTTTTAAGTACCATATAAATACCTTTAAGCATGTTCTTAGGGATCTTATCTGGTTTTCTCTCAAAAACCTAAGAACTTATTGGTGAAAGATTATAACTTTATTTTCTTTTCATCTTATTCTCTTGAGTTTGTTGAGTAATCTTGATCTCTAATCATGTTTAACCAACAATCAATCATTGTTGTTGGGTTAATCATGAGTGTTAGTGAGTAGATCCACTTTAGATTCATGGGATAGGTTGGTAAGGGTGATTAAGTGTAGATCTAAAGTATTAGGTGTTAGATCCTTGTGTTTCCTTGTTAGATGAGTGATTTTAATGCTTGATTAATGTTGGCCTCTTTAGTCATGATCATTAGACATTTTCTGCCCACAAGGTGTTTGTTTAAATATCTGAACCAACTCATCTAACTTTATTACTACCTAGCCAATGACCATTTGTATCTAGGGGTTTTAGATAGTTATTAAACCTACTCTTAATGATTGATTTCATTAATTAAGCCAATGACCATTTGTGTTTGATTAATGAAAGCAAATGAGCATTTGTCTAGACCTAGAACTTGCTTAGATTAGTTGTTTAGACTTAAGGAAATACTTTGATTGAAAGCTTGCTATTTTTAGATCGAATCTTGATCACCTAAACCATATACCTATTCCCATGAGTCTAACCTTCACTAATTGAGAAAAAGTTTGTTACTTGTTAGTTTCTTTAAATTGTTCTTGAATCACTTGATACTCTCAATATTGATAGCACTTAGATTAAGCTTTGTCTTGTAATTCCATTGGTTTATAATTGCTTAGAATTGGTTCGATATCTTTTGTACTATAAGATTTGAATAGGAATCTAAAAACTCCTATTATCAACGTCCCTGAATAAACTTAAATTTCTCAGACCGAACATCAAAGCAAACTATAAAGTAAGTTGCAAGGTTATCTTGAGCCAAGTATTATAAAGCTCCATTGATGCATATCCCTTTAGACCTAGGATCACAATGGGCCAAGGGAATGTGTATCTTTCTCCACCTCCTTTCTCCCAATGTCAGAATATAAGCAAAAGATGTTGAACAGGCGGAGACATCAGGTGACAATACCTTGAATACCTTGTCAATCGGATCAAACCCTAAAAAGCTCTCATTACTCGTTGTTGTCAGTGTAGGTAAGAAAACATACTGTCCTAGGCTAGGATTACATATCACATGATGCATTGAATGCTCCCAACCCTTCCTTGTGAAATAAGGGAAACAGAATAAACCAGCGGCATGACCACAAAACGTTAGCGGCAGATTCAGTTTAAAATAGGGGGCAGCGGCTAAGGACGACGAGTTGTCGTTTTGTCGAGACTGAATCTGAGATGGAGAAAAGAAGAGAAACTCATTGCTTCCAGACGTATCCATGGTGAATAAGAGACTGGGACGAGTTGAAGACTTGGTTAAGAAATAGTCGGTGAAATCTTCACTGCATAGTATGGACCTCCATTGATTCGACACGCAACGGCACCTCCCTATCGACTTGGTTGGCAATTTACAGAATATCTCGTAAACAAGATCAAGAGGGATTGAATTCATGATCAGATGTAGAGAGATAGAGAGAGAGAGATAGAGATAGAGATGGATGCAAACCATTGTTGGCAAATGTCTACTATTTATATAGAGTTCTAGCGAGGGCCTAGGGCATATCATTCCGAACCGAACCGAACCAAATCATGCATAGGCTTTATTAAGTTCAATATCGGTTTAAAGGCATAAACCGGTCGAATCTTGCTTCTTTTTTTTTTTTTTAAGTAAAGTGTACACTTAATTAGTATCTTGCCTATTGGTTATTTTGAGAACGTTTAAGCTAATTTTCCAAGAGATAGTTGCATTATTACTGAGACAAAAGACAAGGCAAAAGATTAAATATCCGTTCTTATCACAAACTCAAGCTTTCTTCAGTTAACATGACTCAATTTCAAAGTAGAAACACAGATAGGAGAAGAAGGGAACTTTCTTGGCTTTCGCGGTGACCTAAAATAGTTGTGGCAAGGGCAAGCATAAAGCCTAGAAAGAGAGAGAGAGAGAGAGATTAGCTTTCATCTTCGTCTCTCTTTTTTGTTCTTCGTTTCTCAACTTCTCAGCTTATCATTTGTCAAGAAAGAAATAAGCAGACAACGTGCGATGTTGCAATCAAGTTGATAGAAACACCAATAAGTACAAAGTCTCCTCCTATTATATTATTAGCACCATACAACTTGTAGATTTTTCTTTTTACAGTTTTTTTTACTAGGGTCACTAACCATCGTGTCATTCATGTTTTAAACTAGGGCCACGCTTCTGCTGACTAGTGTCAAGTTTTGACATAAGGATTGATTTATCATGAAAAAAGACTCGTTAAACTACACAAAACGATCACCACATAACTTTGTTATAAGAAGAGTACTAAGGTATGTCAATCCATTACTTATCAATTGGCTTTAACTTGGAAAGCTCATCAGTCTCAAAGTTAACACTGAACATAAACTAATATACAAAAGTTGGGAGAGAGCTTTTTTTTTTTTGAGAAAATTCGGAGAGAGTTTAGACCAAGGGTTCATCTAACTCGAAGAGGCAAAGACTTTGGATCCTTCCTTTGTCTTAAGGTCAACTTTTGTTCCTTGACCATCCTTTGTGTCCACTCCACTTCGACCAAGATTATGAAGACAAGTGCAGATAAATATGAATAAAAGAAAACTTAATATCTTTGATTAACTTGATGTTTACAGAAAGAGAAGACACATTTTATTAAAGTAGAACTTTTACAGGACTGGAAGAAGGGATCGTCACAAATTCACATATCCTCTAAAAGAGACAGAGCATTAAATTTGTTAATGCTTTCAAACCTCGGAAAATCCAGCTGCCAAGACTTCATATCAAACGTAAGATCATCAACATGGTCTACAAAGACGTCAAGTACTGTACCATCCACTAAACCTTGGACTTGAACACGTCTGATAACGTTCCTTTCGGGATGGAAGTAGAAAACGTAAAACGGTTCCGAGTGATTTCGATTCATCAAAACAATTTCCCCAGTAGCTGACGTCATTCCAGCTACGTAAACCTTGAACACATCACATTCAACGTCACGGAAATTATCACCAGATAGAGTGTAGGCATACTCCGACCAATCCTGTTTCTCGTCATTCTCTAGAACCCATATACGCATCTCCTCCTTGCTAGGACGAAACGTGCGTACTCTCCAATCCCAGGTTTCCTTTGGCCAGCTAATCACACCTAATTTACCCTTATAGTTTATCAATCTTAATCTTGAATCAGAATCAAGAAAACGTCCCTGAATAAACTTAAATTTCTCAGACCGAACATCAAAGCAAACTATAAAGTAAGTTGCATGGTTTTCTTTAGCCAAGTAATATAAAGATCCATTGATGCATATCCCTGTAGACACAGGAGAATGGGCCAAGGGAAAGTGTATATTTCTCCACGTCCTTTCTCCTAATGTCAAAATATAACCAAAAGATGACAATACCTTGAACACCTTGTCAACCGGATCAAACCCTAAAAAGCTCTCATTACTCGCTGTTGTCAGTTTAGGTAAGAAAACACACTGTCCTAGGCTAGGGTTACATATCACATGCACTGCATGCTCCCTCTCCTTCATACGACGGAAACAGAATAAACCCGAGACATGACCACAAAAATCTAGCTGCAAATTCAGTTTAAAACAGGGGGCGGCTGCTAAGGACGACGACTTCGACTGAATCAGAGGCGGTGACGAGAAGAAGAGAAACTCATTGCTTCTGAATCTATCCACGGTGAATAAGAGACTGGGACGAGTCGAAGACTTGGTTAAGAAATAGTCGGTGAAATCTGCACTGCATAGTATGGACCTCCATTTCTTCGACACGCAACGGCACCTCCCTATCGACTTGGTTGGCAATCTACAGAATATCTCGTACAAAAGATCAAGAGGGATTGAATTCATGATATCAAGGACTTTAGGGAGATTGAGAGAGGGAGGTGGATGCAAAACCATTGTTGGCAATCTCTACTATTAATAATATAGAGTACTAGTTCCAGGGCCTAGGGCATTCATTTACGAACCGAAACCAAATGATGCATGGTTCGCTTGATTTAGTTCAATATCGGTTTAAAGTCATAAATATACCGGTCTAACCTTGGTTCTTTTTTTGAAAACGAAAAAGAGTCTATTGGATCTGTAGCACTTTAGTATCTTTTCTATTGGTTATTTTGAATTTTTGAGAACGCTTTAAGCTAATTTTCCAAGAGATTGTTGCATTATTACTTAGACAAAGAGACAAGACAAGATTAAATATCCGTTCTCATCACAAACTCAAGCGTTCTTAAGTTAACATCACTCAATTTCAAAATAGAAACACAGATAGGAGAAGACGGAAACCTTCTTGGCTTTCGGGGTGACCTAAAATAGTGGTGGCAAGGGCAAGCAAAAGGCCTAGAGAGAGAGAGAGAGAGAGAGAGAGAGAGAGAGAGAGATTAGCTTTCATCTTCGTCTATCTTTTTTGTTCTCAGCTCAAGAAAGAAATAATCAGACAGTGTGCGATGTTGCGATCAAGTTAACAGAAACACCAAAAAGTACAAACTCTTCTCCTATTATTTTATTAGCACCAAACAACTTGCAGATTTTTTTTCCACAGTTTTTGACTGGGGTTACTACACGTTTTAGACTAGGGCAAGGCTTTTGGCTCTGGTCACGTTTTGACATAACGATTGATTTATCATCTATGATATATTTTGACGTTAATATATAACATCAAAAATTCAAAATATTTGACACCAACCACTTGGACCAGATTAGATTTAGAAAGCGTTTTAGCCAAAACAAAAAAAAATCAACAAAATATGAGACAGATATCCTTTAACTCATAAACCCTTAATATTTGCTATAATAGTGCTATGATAGATACATTTCATCTTATCTGTTAGTTATATGACCCTGTTAGGCATCCCACATATAAATGAGAAGAGCGCTAAAGTAACATATAACATATAATATGTCAAATCCATCAATTATCATATGGTTTTGACTTGGAAAACTTCTTTTCTACAGTTGTCTCGCGCGCAAACACGAAGTTTATAAAGTTGGGAGAGAGTTAAGGGATCATCTTAGTTTAAAGAAGCAGAGACTTTGGAGCCTTCCTTTGTCTGAATGTCAACTTTTGTTCCAAGACCACCCTTTGTGTCCGCACCACTCTGAGCAAGATTAACCTCCACATCAGGGCCCTTTCCCGTCGCGGGAGGTTCAAGGATATTACCTGCGCAAACAATGGAACAAAGAGAGAGAGAAAGAGTCAAATGGTTTCCCTTATGGCTTCCTGGATTGACAAGTGATTCGCATTAACAGTTTCAATAGCATATTGACAGGTTCAATATGAATAACTCAGAGCTTAGCGAGTTACCGATGCCGCTGAAGAAAATGCCGTAGTCCATTCCATTGTACATGGTTGGTATCACCATAGAATAAGGGCATTGGGTGGAGAATCCAACCTTTGTGCCATTAGATTGTTTGGCTGATCTGCTTACCTTGTTTACACAACGCTTGAATTGCTTGTGGCACTTAACATAAGTCATACCTACAAAAAATATAAACAATATTAAGAACACATGTATAAGGAAAGTAATGGCAATAAGGAGTAGATATATATTTTTTATATTGAGTTAACCTTTTAGATCAACACAATTGTCATGTGTCATGCAACAAGCATCAAGACTATCACAAGGTGGCTCTCCACGGCATCCAGAGTATCCTATCCCACAATACTTCCCATATCGAATGCCGATGGCTGATGAAAACATTTTTTTCCATAACAAATATATAAGACAATTCTCCATATCCAAAGGAAATGCAAGGAAAAAAAAGAAGAAGAAAACAATCTTACTTGTGCAGTCTTGCGCAATGCATGTTTTGCTGCATGTCTCCTGTCATCACATTTTGATTCATAGCACATCAGAAAAAAAGGATAACAATATGCACAAAGAAGAGTAAGTATGTGTTTATAATTAACCTGGCTGTGGACGACGGTGAGGAGGAGGAAGGTGGCGACGCTGAAAGCAAAACGTGTCAAAGCACCACCGTGAATCATCTTTCTCTCCCTCTCACCGACTGTTGGAAGTTTCTTGTTTTTTTTTTTCTGTTTGCTTGTGTTCTCTTTAAAGATTGTGACCTCCTTGGAACTTGGAAGATCTCATTGGTCTTCCTAGTTTTTCGTTATCTTCCTCTTTTATGTACCAAAGACTTCAAATAGAATCAGCTATTTATCAATGTATTTTCTGTTACCTCATAGAACCAACGAACATGATTTACCAATAAATTTGGAGTATTTGCAACAGACCAATGTTTTTTTTAAAAAGAAAATATATAAAGAGAAAGCAAAATATAAAGAAACTTCCTCTTTAAAATTTTGTTCTTATTAATCTCAAGCTTATCTCAGTGAGAGTTCAGTAAAATGGATGTTTCTCAGCTCCAAAACTGGAAAAAATTGATTCAGAGAGAATCATGGAAACTAAAATACGGAGCAAGTGATGTGGTTTCAAGTTATTGTTGGTCTCTTTCAAGGGTAATAGCCGGTGAAGGTGAACCCTCTGCCGGTGATTTCTCCTGCGCAGTACCAAGCAAAGCATTCAAGACCAAACAATGCAGCGATTCCAGCATCTTCTACCTTCAGATCGGTTCTGTTCTTCCATAAGTTCTTTGCGTAGTCTAGCTCCTTCCAGAAGGTTTCATAGCGTTTGGGAATGCTGTAAAATAAGTGGAAAGAAGATTATCAGATATTGAGTAAAGCCACAAATAAATGCTAATGCTCATTGCCCAAAAAACTTTAACTAATGGCAAACTAAAGACGGATTCTCGCCTATGACCAGGTTTTGAAGACTAAGAAACGAAACAGGAGCTAAAACCATCATCAAATAAGATGCAACTTACTGAGACGTCTTTGAAGAACCCCGAAAAAAATGGATGGTGAAATGATTAAAATGTATCATCTGAGACTTACTAGATTAGCAAAATTGTCGCAAACATGATATAACTAAACGATTTGTCAACTGAACAACTTAAGCTTGACTAACTTCAAAAAATAATCCTTGCAACCTATAACAAAGCATTAATTAAACAAGTCGACAAACAGTTGAGCTCCATGAACAGGCAGCCTATAAAGCAATCAGTGTTACTTTTGTCATCTCAAGGAAAGAAACGAAAAGGACAAAGATATCTCGGTAACTAGAACCTAGAAAATGGTTGTATATAGAGTACTATGAACGGGTAAAAATATTGAGGAGGAGGAGAAGAGAGGTAAGGACCTAGCAAGACGGGTGTAGAGAAGCTGCTTAGACAACTCTTGACACTTTTCAACAGTGGCAGGCTCCTGGATAAAATGCTTGTTCTTCTCAAGCAACTGCCTGTAGTAAGAAGTTCCATGCTTTGCAACAAACTTTGAAGCCTCACATGCCTTTGATTGAACTTGTATCAACTTCGACGCCATCCTTCAAAACAAAAACAAAACCCATATGATTTTACTTAAAATCACTCTTTCTTTCTTGCAATATCATAAAATTACATTCAAAGGCAGAGACTTTCACAAAATCGAGTTCAAAGACCTAAACTTTAAACCCCTTAATAGTCAATTAAAGAAGCCGCAGATCGAAAAAAGCACATCAAAACTAGAATTCTCTATCGAAGCAGGAACACAGATCTAAAAAGTCAAGCACAAGAACAAACGAACGATATACAAGAATCCGATAAAACCAGATCAAAGCGAGAAACTTTCACGAAGATAAGCGATGACGGGAAGCTCGCCGTACCTTTTTCTGTGGAATAGAAATGCGGCGGCGCCGGTGAAGAAGATGAGTTGATTTGCGATTCGAGTCACTTTCTCTTTCTCTCTGAGATACTGAAACGACGCTTACTCCTAGTACGACGCCGTTTCATCTTCTCCTCGATGCGTTTTAAACGTCGCCGTTTGTTATTAGTAGGGATGACAATCAAAGACCTGGACCGCGGGCCGGGCCCGTAAAGGCTTGCTGCGGGGCGGGATTGGAATTTCATTTGATAAGCACGCAAAATTATGGGCCTCGCGGGACAGGCTCAAAATGGACGGGCCGAATGCGGGACGGGCTCAAAACGGGACGGGCCGAATACGGGACAGGTTAACCCGCGGGATTTTGAAAACCCACAACCATAAGTCCCATTTATGTTTGGTTTTGTTTTCAATACTATAAATTGCCTTATTACTATGTGGAATTTTCTTGTTTAAGTTGATGAGTTTTGTTTTCAGTATTGTCAAGTGGTGTTTTAAAAAAAAATTAAATTTTGTTACAAAGATGTTGTTAAAGAGTTATTGCTTGGTGAAGAGCTACTGTTTGTTCTTTAAACGGCTCAAAATGAGAGTTTGGGTTACTGCTGTATCTTGTCTTTACACTCTAAGTTCAACAGCTTGGTTAAAAGAGAAGAAAAAACCATTAGTATTAAGTTATTGTTGCTATGAAGAGACGTTGCTTTACAAAGAATCAAACAAGGAATATTCTTGAAAGAGTTAAATTTTACTGTCCAAATGGCTCTCACTTACTTCAAGACCATTAAATCAGCGAGTGATCACATTGGATGTTGTTATGATTGATGTTGTTCAGCTCTCTTCAACTTCTTTACTCAACTCTTCTACTTTAACATTCATGAAGGAAGCTGAAGGAGACGTCCCGCGAAGGCTTATAAATTATACGGTACGGGATTGGGTAGCCATTCGGAAGACCGCAACCCGCGCGGGATAGGCTCGCCGTGACCCGCTCGACGATGAGCCCGCTGCGGTACGAGACGGAACGGGACAGAAAAGCCCAATTGCCATCTCTAGTTATTAGAACGACAGCGTTTTGGTGGTATTTCGCGCAAGAAGATAGGCTTTTTTGAATCTATTATATTAAAACAGAAGTCACAACTTCTTTTCATGTGTGATATTTTAAAAATGGACAATTCTTAGAAAATAATGTTTCATTTATATCTTAATAACATTTTAGTATAACTTAATTACAATATGTTTTGATATCTTTTCTTTTATTTATAATAAAATAAATAATTTAAAGAGAATTCTAACAAAATCCTTTAGAATCTTTTGTAAAAAATATATTAGATTTTAAAAAATAAATAGATATCAATTCATCTATTATATTAAAAGAGAAGTTATGACTCATTTCATGTGTGATTTTTTTATTTGGACCATTAGCAAAAAAAAAATTATTAAATATATTTCATTTTTTGTAACCACTTCAATCATAGTATCTTTGATATCTTTTTATTTTAATATAAATATGTATTAATTCTTTTTAAAAAATCTGTTGAAAAGATGTTAGCAAGATCTTAACTTTAAAAACATTATATAAATATTTCACTAATTAATAACTTGAATAAAATTCCGAATTAGTAATAAAAATAATTATACATTAATATATATATATATATATATATATATGAAAACAGATTTTATTCTTTTTATCTATTTGATAATCATAAACTATCAAATGAAATGAAATTATTATAATAAAGTGAATGTTATAAAATTATATTAAATTGATAAATTATTCAATTTTATTTTCATAAATAGAAAATATTAATGTTAAAAATAATATAATATATTGGCAGAACAGATTAACATTAGTAACTATAAATACATGTATAAAATTAACATATCTTAAACTTTTATAATATTATATTATCTTTATAAACATAAAAAGTTTAATAAAAGGTAATCTAACTTTGAAACTCAAATAATAATTTAGTATAAATTATATATAAAATAATTTTCAAATATGATTTTTCATGCATATATTAATATTAATAATTAAATATAAAGTCAATTAGATAAATATATAATAAGAAACAATTGATATTAACATACAAGCTATAAAATTATTGTGTTTGTAATAGTTATATAAACATTTAAATATATGACTAACGTTATTGATAATATAAAACAAATCTATATATATATATGAAAACAAAATCCGCGCGGTTGCGCGGGTCTAAATCTAGTTCCAGTTAAGTGAACCGCCGAACCGGAAGGATAAAATGTCACCGGTTTGGTGTATATCCATGAAAACCGAACCGGTACAGAAGAGAAAAACAAGAGCCAAGACTTGTCCCCTTTTTTTTCTTGGGCAAAGACCAAAGACTTGAGAGTTGGATAATAAATGATTGTCTACTTTCCTAAAACCCTAACCGTTGCTCTTCGTCTCTCTATCCTCAAAAACCCTTCTCTCTTTTCCCTCCGTCGCTTCTCTCTTTTCCCTCGTGTGCCAAACATAAGGAGGGACACAATGACGAAGAAGAGCAACAACAACGAATACCAAGTTGCACAAGGCTCCCAAGATGAATCCATGTGTGAAGCCGGAGAGAGAAGCACCAACACCGCTGACGTCACTGATGATACCACCAGCGCCGACTACTACTTCGATTCCTACTCTCACTTCGGTGCTTTACTTCCCCTTCTCTTTTTTTTATCAGTTCATGTTAGATGTTTTCTGAAAGTTGACTCTGTTTCCCACTTTTTATCTGTTTGTGCAGGAATTCACGAAGTAAGTTATCGAAAAGACAGTAACTTGTTCTGTTGTTATTACAGTATTGGTTCTGGAACCGAGCTAATTCAATGTGTTTGATTTGGTATCTCTTACAGGAGATGTTGAAGGATGTAGTGAGAACAAAGACTTACGAGAATGTAATTTACCAAAACAAGTTTCTCATAAAGGACAAAGTTGTTCTTGATGTTGGAGCTGGGACTGGAATCTTGTCTCTCTTCTGTGCCAAGGCTGGAGCTAAACATGTCTACGCTGTAACGCTTCATTCCTTTTAGTTTCTGTTTTTCCATAAAGTTTAAAACTTCTTTGAATCCGAATTGATTTTGATTGAGCATGTTTTTTTAATAGGTTGAATGTTCTCAAATGGCTGACATGGCCAAGGAGATTGTTAAAGCCAATGGATTCTCTGATGGTTAGTTTATCTTCCTTCACTTTGAGTTTGTATTCGGAACAAAATCATCTGTTGTGTAACGGTGTTTGTTTTATTGTTGTAGTGATAACGGTATTGAAAGGGAAGATTGAGGAGATTGAGCTTCCTACTCCTAAAGTGGATGTGATCATATCTGAATGGATGGGTTACTTTTTGTTGTTTGAGAATATGTTGGATAGTGTGTTATACGCTCGCAATAAATGGCTTGTAAGTTACACATCTCCACATTCTTACATATGAGATCATGTCCTTGTTATAAGCATTTATCTAAAGAAAACTTCTTGCTCTTTTGGTGTCATTGATAGGTTGATGGCGGAGTTGTACTACCAGACAAAGCCTCTCTGTTTCTTACAGCAATAGAGGATTCAGAGTATAAAGAAGAAAAAATTGAATGTGAGCACATATGATTTGACATTATCTATCATGTATCTTGGTTTCTATTAAGGTTTGGATTTGCCAATTGTGTTTTGTGTGTTTGTGCTGCAGTTTGGAACAATGTGTATGGTTTTGACATGTCATGCATCAAGAAAAAGGCTATGATGGAGCCGCTTGTTGACATCGTCGACCCAAAACATATCGTCACCGATAGTAGGCTACTTAAGGTAATAAAATATACACATTGACAATGATTCCTAGTATCTCTCTTTTACATGTGGCGGCTTATGCTCATTTCATTGTAACAGACGATGGATATCTCGAAGATGTCATCTGGTGATGCTTCCTTCACAGCTCCCTTTAAACTTGTTGCACAACGCAATGACTACATCCACGCCCTTGTAGCTTACTTTGATGTGTCGTTTACCATGTGCCACAAGCTTCTCGGTTTCTCAACAGGTGCAGTTTCTTGGTACTTCTGAATATTTTCTTATGTTACTGAATCACTTGGTCAGAAACTCACACTGAACAACCATGGTGTTATGAAATGCAGGACCCAAATCCAAGGCCACACACTGGAAACAAACTGTCATGTACCTTGAGGATGTCTTAACCGTATGTGAGGGTGAGACAATCACTGGAAGCATGTCTGTTTCGTATAACAAGAAGAATCCTCGAGACATTGACATAAAGCTAAGCTATTCTTTGAATGGCAAGCACTCGAAGATCTCAAGGACTCAACACTACAAAATGCGCTGAAGTTAATTAAAAGCTCCAAATCTAGATCCGAAACTGAGATGATAAAATTCTCAATGTTGTGATTTTAGTTTTTGTATTTTTTTTTCTTCTTCAGTTTTGCAACAATCACATTTATCCTGATTTGAATTCATGATTTTGCTCTAAACCATTACGTTGTGTGTTCGTTTTCGTGTTACAGAACTGATGTCTCTCAACACTTGCTCTCGAAAAGACTGATGTAATTGTAAACTAAACAATGCAGCTACAAAAGGGCATGTGTGAAGAAGATCACAAACTGTTTCTATAGCTCAGATTTTCCGGATTTAGGCTTCTTTGAAGATCCTTTCCACCATCTCCGGACCCGGTTCGACACCATCTTCATCTTTCCCCTCAGAGACTCACCTTTCTTCTTGAGTAACTTAGTGACTGTCTGCTTCCACTCTTCCTTTTTGGTCTCTTTCTCTCTTAGAACTTTTCCCTGAAATTAACAAAACCATAAAAGTGTTTTAGAGAATGATCTTGGTTGCTTCTTGATGAAAGTGTCTAAGCCAAACTTCTTGTGTACCAAGTTATTGGGGAACTTGTCATCCTCTTCCTCATCTTCATCATCATCATCTTCATCTTCACTACCGAATTTTCCAGGGTTGTTTTTGTACTTCTCTATATCATCTCTAGAGTATACCTTCATGCCAGGTGCTCCTGGCATACCCTGATGAAACACAACATAGAGGTAGCTTAAGATCATTTCCATGATACATTGATGCTTGGCTTTTAAGTCTCATCAGAACTCACCTGCATAGATCTCATGATCTTGTCCATTTCAGCATCTTTCGATGGTTTTGCAACAAATGGTTCTCCAGGAACTCGATCCTAAACAAAAGATAAATAGCCACTATCTCACACAACGTTCATATCTTTTTTTTATCAAAATGTAATTCATTTCTCAGTTTCAGTTTTATTGAAAAAAGCTCTTAGGATATAGTCTATGGCCTTGAAGAGACCGTATAGGGAGATACCTTGGGAACAGGAGGAGGGTTCTTGGTACAAGCATCGGTCAGGTCTTTGCATAGATGGTTAACAAGTGAGGCAAGATCAGGCTTAGACTTGTATATATACTCGGCAACATCAGTGTCTGAGTAACCAATGACCTGTAAACACACAAAACAGATTAAAAACCACATTCCCTAACTCCAATTCTATTAGTAATTGAAAGACAAACGATATATTCACCTTTTGACAAGCAGCCTCAATGGTCTTACACTCAGAATTGCACATCCCTTCTTCTTCTTGTTCAACCAGCTACAACGAGAACCGTTCCGAGTCAATCTTAGTTCTTGGATCAAACAAATGAGAGATAGAGAGATCTGTATTACCTGAAGCTTGTCACCTTTCTCAACAATATCAATCTTAAGCATCCAATCAGCTTCTTCTTTCTTCAAGTTGCAAACATTCTCCGCAATCTCAATAATCTCATACTCCGAGATCTAACATTTACACGCTATTAATTAGACCATAAACACACACAAAACAAGAAAGAAACAGCGATTACTAACCTTCTTGGGAGAGATCTCTACTTGCTTCTCCTTCACCAGCTTGTGCAACCTCGACGCTAGCTTCTCACACACCTGGCATTTGATAAACGGAACATCCTCCTTTCTCGGAGCCGACGACACGGGCTTCTTCCCGTCCACCGGTAATAACGCCGAAGCAGCTACAAGAGCTAATGCTACAGCTAACAGAACTCGATTCATCTTCAGCAAAGACAGAGTCTTTCTCGTAAAGTTGGAGAGCAAGTTATGGCACGGATTGTGTTTATAAGATCATGGGTTTTGCGATCTCTTTGCCGAGAAATATGGGTTTTGATTTTTTTTTCTTTACTGTGCCGTGTTGTTGAAGTGGAACCGGTGTTACGTTTGTTAACGTGTTTCCTGCAATCTTATTGGTTGTTTTAGTGCTGACATGAAGTGGAGCCCATTAGTTCAGCTAATAGCATGTAAGGTAAAACTAATGTCTGCATTTAAACCTGATTATCATAATATGACACCGTTTTGTACACGGATTAACTAAAAGCCACTACACTGGGCCTGGGGCGAGACAAACTAGGCCCATTAGATAATTAAAGAGACGAGGGTAACTATGTCTTTGTAACTAATTATAAACTTAGGCACGTTGATGTAAAAGTGCTCTACGTCTCGTTTAGTCGTTCTTTGAGGTATTTCGTCGAACACAAACAGCACATGTATGAAATCGAAGTGGTCTGTCTTTGCTCTACTTAGCCCCACGCCATGATTTCTCTCCTTAAAGCTCGCGAGAAGCTTCTCTCTCCTCTCTTCACTTCCTCTATATGCCGTCGTCTCTCGTCTAACCTCTCGTGTAAACCTCTCTTTCTCTCTCTATTTATCGCTAGCATAGTTAGTGGGAGTGATTGGTAAGTGCTGTGACTTTTATTTTTTTGCTTTAAAATGGCTGTAGAAAGAAAAAGAGATGTAGAAAGCACTCACAGCACTTGTCAATCATCCCAAGTATCTCTACTGTAAGCTGTGAACATTGTGTGTTTTGGAACAGATTCTTGTGAAGAAGCGAGAGGTTCTGACGTATTCATACATCCAAGTGCTGTCGTCCACCCAAGTGCTGTGATCGGAAAGGTTTGATTTTTATCCAAAACTTCTTGATCATCTTGAAATGTGGAATAGCTAAAATCACTCACACAGCTAGATGGGTTTAGTTGGAACCTGGTCAAAGTGTGATGCTTTTGTTTGAGACATTGGTTTATAATTAGACAAATGTTGTTTCATCTTCTTCTTCTGACAGGGAGTTTCAGTTGGCCCGTACTGTACAGTTGGTTCTTCAGTGAAGCTAGGCAATGGCTGCAAACTCTATCCTTCAAGTCATATCTTTGGAAACACAGAGTTGGGGGATTCTTGCGTCCTCATGACGTAACTCACTTTGATCTCTAATACATTATTCCGTACTAGAATTTGTTACTTCTGGACTGATCTTTTGTTGTGTCTGCGTTGATTTTTTGTCAGCCAGTGGTGCTATTGTTGGCGATGAGCTTCCTGGTTTTACAGTTATTGGAGGCAATAACATTATCGGTCACCACGCTGTGGTCGGTGTTAAATGTCAAGACTTGAAGTACAAGGTTTGTGTGTGTGAGATTCTCATCACCTCTTTAGATTGTTCTAGTCCTAATCTTGCCCTACTTATGGTCTCTTTTTGTGTTTTAGGATGGGAATGAATGCTTTCTTTGCATTGGTAACAACAATGAAATTAGGGAGTTCTGTTCTATTCACAGATCATCAAAGGCTAGTGATAAAACGGTATGCCATTGACCAATAGAGTAGAGGTTTGGGATGTTTTCTGGTGTGTGAGCTCTGTCTTTTTCATTTTTTTTGAACAGGTGATTGGTGACAACAATCTAATCATGGGCTCTTGTCATATCGCTCATGATTGCAAGATTGGTGACCGAAACATATTTGCCAACAATACACTTCTTGCAGGCCACGTGATCGTAGAAGTAAGATCTTCCTTGTGTCTATACTTTAGACCTGGATTTAGCAACATGGTTTCGTTTGATTCATGTTGTGAATGCCTCAGGACTATACACACACAGCAGGAGCCACGGTGGTCCACCAGTTCTGTCATATTGGTTCTTTCGCTTTCATTGGTGGTGGTTCTGTGGTATATTTACATCTCATATGTCTCAGTTCCCCCAAAATTTTCCGGTGGACACTCACTGGTGAGATTGGATATAGGTTTCACAAGATGTTCCAAAGTACATGATGGTGACTGGAGAAAGAGCTGAACTTCGCGGTTTAAATCTAGAGGGACTTAGACGTAATGGATATACCATGTCAGAGGTTTGAAACTGTGTCACTGTGTTAAGTCATTTTGGTATGTTACCATATAGTCCTGACTTTTTTTTGTCTTGGCATTGGTAGATGAAGAGCCTGAGAGCAGCCTATCGTAAGATATTCATGTCTACCGAGACATCAAGTCTTGAAGAGCGTCTCACGAAGATGGTAGTTATTTACTTAACTCTTTTCATTGCCCTTGTCTCTGTTCATATCTATGGATATATTGTAATTGGTGCTTAATGCAGGAACATAACCAAGAGCTCTACAGTGTTCCTGCGGTTAGTGCCATGTTGCAGTCAATCCGAGATTCTTTCGCAGAAGGTCGTCGTGGGATATGCAAGTTCAGACAGTGGCTCGATTCTTGAGTTTTCAGTTCACAGCTTGGAGACTTAGATTAGGCATTCATTGATCAACAATAGCTCAACACTATCTCTTTCACTGAATCTGTAATAGTTTAATAGATAACTTAAACTAAGTTTTGTCAATATTGAGTGGCCAAAGAAATCCTTTATAGTCACTTGTTATTTAAAGAAGATCCGTTGGTATTTTTTTGGTTTTATTACAATAAGTTGAGGATGTGACCACTTACATGAGTGATGGCAAAATCAGGACTTCCTGTAAAGATTTACAATTTCTTTCTATGTACATGTCTACTTGTGATCTTGGATTGAATCATTTTTCTGGTCTCTTACTGTAGAAGCTTGTTTGCTGATAACTTTTGCCGCCTCTTTCATTCCAGGACAGTGTACTGAACTTGAGTGTTTCTAGAATCGTTCCTCTGTTAAATTGTGACTCGTGAAGGGAGTTTTAGAGGAGTAATGGCGGTAAAGCCTGAAGTAAACTGTCAATAGCTAAAACCTACAGTTTTGCTGCGGTTGCCATTATATCTCCAGCTGATGTTTTCTTCAACCACCAAGTTAAGAGACAAAGTTTTCTTCGACCATAGTGAAGGAAATATCTGGACTTTGATTGCTATGAATCACGCATGAAATTTGCCTTTCTTTGGGTCTTGTATCCTTGAGTTTCCTTCACAAGGCAAGCCTGTAGGCATACTGATTCAACTCTAGTGAAGCTCCAATGCTACATGCCCTGTAGCTTCATAAACCTAGGTTGTTCATTGGTGGTGCCGTGGTGGTTCTGTGGTATATACCAGTGAACAGCCTAGGTTTATGAAGCTACAGGGCGTTGAGTTTCGATAGGATAGACTTAGTAACTAGACTGTTAGTACACTTAAGAGATTCTATCAGCAGACACTTGTGAGCATGTAGCATTGGAGCACATTTGGCGACGAAATGTAGCAAGAAGTTTCCAAATTTTAGTGACTTGCAATACCTTTCTGCCATCTCCTGAACCTTAGAAACAAGACAATCAACGGAACCTTGGGTTAAAGGGACTTCGTGGATCAAGATGTTCTGAAAAAAGATAAACAGTGATTCATTCCACGTCAGGTCATCAGATATAAGATCCCTATGGCAGGGAAGAAGCATAAACTTCCTCTCTTCTGTTCTTCCACAGAGCAACTTCTGGCAAAAAGCAGAGATATGACCCAAGTGCCAGCATTCTTTCAAAACCCTTGAAACCACCTCACAGATGAAGCTGTTGATCCCTTCTTTCCTTAGTATCAAAGGGAACACCAAACCATACTCAGCTGCTCTTTGGTGGATCTTGCAAAACTCAACTGTTGCAGACATCAACACACGAGAAGGGGATTTCTCGAGAGACAAAAACTTGGGAAGCACGGTTGAGCATAAAATCTGGCTTGGCCATTCAAGCTTTTCTTCCTCAATTCCGTTATGCAGATTCGAAAGCATAACCGCAGCAGTCTCATCATCTGCATTCCAAGGCTCAACCAATGCCAAAACTCTTAAACAGTCCCTACCTTTCCCCAAGCAAAGTTTCCGAATTTCATCACACAAAGTTAAAGCTTCAGAACTAGACTCACAGTTCTTAATCTGAGCTCTAAGGTTCACAGCCATTTCGTGAACATCAGGCTGTAAACCAACATTAATCTCATCATCATTGTCATCATCCACAGCTTCTCGATGATCAACTTCCAGATTATCTCTACCTTGACTCATCACATACTCTTCATCACAAGAATCAACAACAACTGTTTCTGAACCTACATCCGCGCATGATACCGGAAGCCACGGAAGAATTACACCAGTAGAACCACCCTTCTTCTCAGTTAACCAATCAGGTACAGAGTCAAACTCTTCCCCAATACTATCCTCATCATCTGAACCCAAATCTAGACGAGATATCCAATCGATTTTTCGTTCAGGCATTATATCGAGCAGGTTCTGTGCATCTCTCTGAACCCAGAAATCAACCTCCTTACCACGGCCACCCAACATCTCCCTCGCTAGCCAAACCAAATCCTTACCGCAAAACCTCCTTTGATCGTAAAGAAGGAACGACAGAATCCGAGACTGGACCATGTTGGGTAACGTCTCAATGAACATAACCCTAAAAAGAAAAACACTTTCATCAGCAAGAAGCTAAAATTGGTTCGATAAAGAGATTAAAAATCAAATCTTTCGATCTGGGTATTACTTGTTTGAAGACGGAGATGAGTTCTGATCGAAGCGTTGTTTCTTCAGCAGTGACACAAATGAGCTCCGGTTTATCGGAGAAGAGGAGGAGGAAGAGATGGAAGCTTCGTCTAACCAGAGAGACGCTTGAGTTTCCGGTGAGGGACTCTTGGAGAAAATGTCGAGAAGCGGAATCCACTCCTCCATGGTGGCGCGTGGGACAGTTTGAAAACAGGGAAGACGCTTTAAAACGTTAAAATAAGAGATTGCTAAAACGACAGCGTTTAACGAAACCGGACGTGGAAGTCTTTCACTCTCTCTAGCTGTTGGACTAAATCAGTTGAATCATTTTTTTTTTTACTGGGAAACCGGACGTGGAAGTCACTCAAAGTTCTGCACCTTTTTGAGACCAAGGCGAAGACCAAAGTAATCAGTTACTCAAAGTTCTGCACCTTTTTGAGACAATTTGAATAACAGGCAACACAGTTTTAAACGTTAAATAAGATATTACCAAAACGACAGTGTTTTTAAGCAGCCTCCGAGTGTCTGAATCCTCTTTCACTCACTCTCTGTAGTTGTTGGACTAATCACTTGAATTATACCGGGAAACCGGACGTGGAAGTCACTCCAAGACCAAGTACTCAAAGCTAAGCCAACTCTGATCAAAGTTTTGCATCTTTCTGAGGTGTAAGGAGAACAGTGAGAAGAAACAATACTCACCAGCGTCACTCTCTCCGCAGCTACAGCTTTCGCCTTCCTCTTCTTCTTTTCCCAAAACGCCGTTGTTTCCCTAAACCAACTCTCACAGTCACCACCTTTCGCTCGCCCACTCAAGAAACTCGACAAGTACGTAGTGCTATTGATTTCATCAGACATGTTTTGTTTCGGGTACGATTTCAAGACCAAACTCCCAAACATCCACCATCTGATCACCAACGGGACAGAAGCCGAGACAGGTTTAATCCCTGTTTTTCCGACAGTAACTTACCCTAACCACTACTCCATCGTCACAGGTCTATACCCAGCGTACCATGGGATCATCAACAACAAGTTGATCCAAAAACAGGGCACGTTTTCACAATGGCTAGTCACGAACCGGAGTGGTTGTTAGGCGAATCGATTTGAGAAACAATAGTGAACCAAGGGCTTAAGGCAACTACTAACATCTGGTCTGGCTCTGAGGTACACAGAGGCTCTTGGTATTGTCCTAGAGGTTTTTGTCAACACTACAATACCTCTGGTGATAGTGATGATGATGATAGAGTTGATATCATCTTGAGCTATTTCGATTTGATGCCTAGTAGTGAGATCCCTTCTTTTGAGAATGTTGAGATATATAACCTGATAAGTTCGATTCTTGGACACAAGTAAAGCAGAGTAAGTGTAAGTTCTATGACTTGCGTTTTCTAGCCCCTGCAAACACTAAATAAAAACGCATTTTGATTTGTATTTTGGTTTTGTATGACCTTAAGAAGTTCTACCAAGCTTATTGTAATATAAATGTTATTATTTGAGTAATTATAATCATTCCAAAAGATAAGCTCTTGCATGGTTATAATATATTTCCTATGTACATCCTTACCATTCATGTCATAGTTTCTCTCCGGTTCTTAGTTTCATACATTAACATTGTACAAGCCTTGAGAAAAGTTGATCTTTGGGCTCAAGAACACAGTTATCTAAAATAGAACTATATGCATTCAAGACTTTTTACGGCTGAAGCAGTTTGATAACTCTTTACTCTCTCCCACTATTGCATCAGCTTAAGCGTAGCTAAACCAATTAGATGAGTACTTAGAAGTCTTATATCTTAGCCTTAGACTCTGAGGTAAGTCTAATAACTAAGCTCTAATGCCCTAACAAAATATTAATTATGTACTAGCCTTGTACCAAACAAACAATACAAAAGTCTTTAAAAACTGACAATTATTTAATCATTTTTGTATTGTAGTTTTATAAATCTTTTGTTACATCTTTGCATCTCGAATTCAACGTTGGGGACCGCAATAATAGGTGATTAGATTAATTGACGTAGATTAAAGTAAAGAGATAATAGATCATGTGATTCTATGCGATATATATAATACTAGGTGATTTTCCCGTGCTCATGCACGGGTATAAATATTTATAAAAGTAAAATTTTATAAGAATTGATTGATATTTAGTTTTACTTTTGAATCAATTTATATGTATAATTTATATTAATAAATATTACATTATTCTAATTATACATATGACCTTGGATATGTTATTGTCGATTTAATTATTTTTTAGATCAATAGTCGGTTTGGTTATCAATTTGATATATTGGATAATATCTATTTTTCGAATTAAACTACAATAACTTTTCTAAATATAATAAAATTTTGTTTAATTTTCTTATTTTCATTTTGGTTGATTATTGTCTTAGATATGTAAATATACTATTGTTTAATTATGTATAACTTAATATATATTGTGCTTAAAATGAAATAAATAATAAACTCAAGTGTTTGATTCAAAATTATATAAATTAATATAATAATAATATTTTGAAGTCTCATGCATATATATAAATTCTACAAAAGAATTAAACTGTAATTGGTTAATATTTTCTTTTTTCTTTTTAATATGCTTTGAATCAATCTCTAATTTATATGTATAAAATTAAGTATATTATTATAATAAATTATATTTTCTTATTTTAGTTAGATGTTTAATTTTGGATATAAATTAGATTAGCCGAGTTATTCATTTTGTGAGTATATTGAGTTAAATATATTTTTAAATTTAAATTGAAGTATAATTACTTTTTATTTCAGTTGAGTCAAATTAAATTAGTTTTATGTATTGCTTAAATATACATGTATTTTCATAATATTTATTTACACTTTATTTTAGTTAAGTCAAATTAAATTAGTTTTATTTATCGCTTAAATATACATGCATTTTCATAATATTTATCAAATTATAAGTTAATTTCTAAAAAAAAGATATTAGAAAATAAAGTGTAACTGATAATTTTTTGGATGTTCATGAACATATATTTTTTTATTATTTTGAAAATATATTTTATGTTGTTTAAAAATATATATTAATGGGGGTATTACTATTTTGTGAAATTTCTTTTAATAAAGTCATATTATGTATATGTTAATGGAGGTATTACTATTTTGTGAATTTTCCTTTTTAATAAAGTCATATTATATACATATAATTTCGTTTTAAAATTTGTTTTAAAATTTTAGAAATATTTCCTTTTTATTATATATGTTATTTGGAAAAAGATAAAAAAAAACTAAATAAAAAATTTAATAATAATCTTAAAAACTAACAATTCATTAAGGGTATCTATGTAATCAACCATCGCGAAAGTTAACGTGAACGCAACACGTAGGAAACTGACTTCTCAAATAATATTATAGAGATCCTTCAAACTCATTTTCTTTGTTGCTTCCTCTTCTTTCCAATTATATATCATTGTATGACTATATAAACATGAGTATTCTATATATACTGTATAAGTAACCATGCTCAACTTCATTGGATTTTAAATGCTTTGGGTAGTCTTAAAAGACCAATTCGACTCCGTTAATCAGACAAATGAATTTACGTGGATAATTGTAGATTTCGAGATTAATAAATATTTTTTCAAGAATATGATTATACTGCATTGGATAATTGAGAATTTACCAAGTTAAACTATTGTGAGTTGTGACTTTTTTTTTTTTTTTTTTTTGTAACTTATAGTTGTGACTTTATTAACTTAATGTTTTTTGATGATCTTTTATGTTGTTTTTTTTGGTAAAATGTTAAACTAGGTATTTTGCCCGCACTTGCGGGCCTAAACATTTTATAATTATTTTACTAATATACTTTTACTAATTGAAAGATTATAATGATAAATTATTATTTATCTTTTTTTTAAACCCATAATATTCATATTTTCATATAAACATTCTTACATATATTTCTTTGTATATTATGTTCACTATTAAAAATAAATCTTAAAATCAAATAATATTTTCAATTATATAAAGTTAAGAAGTTTACTTGATTAATATTTAGTTATGTATTTTCTATTTTTTATTAAAATATATGTGTAGATAACAACACAATATATATAAGAATTATCTTATTTAAATACATATTATTTAGATTTTTGATAATTCTTATGATTATTATTAGTTTTAATTACTTATCTTTTATTCATTAAGGTAATAAGCAATATTAACCAGTGTAACTTTTAACGTGGGAGCTCCATTGCGAAAAATCACTTAAATGCGGACCTGCAGACTTAATTATATTTAAGTCAATTTAAAAAATCATCAAAATAAATGATTATTTACATCCAAATAATTCGACCTATAACATTAAATTTTTTTACATTGATAAAGTTATTCACACATTAAAAAAAAATCTATGTTTTCCTTTAAAATTTTGAAAAATCTAAACTCTATTTAATTTCTTCTTAATTGATAAAAAAAATATAGAAATCTATCTTTCAGTTTGAAAAATATAATCGATAAATATACATTCAAAAATTGATCTTATACAAAGAATAAAATTAGTTTGGATAATAATACAATATATTTGAATATATTTTTGTCAAACATGTATTTTTTTTTTTTTGAATGATCTTTTATCTTATATGACTAATTCATGTTTAAGGTTTAACTATATAAAATATAAACATAAATTTAATTTAACGTGTGAGAGGTGAAAAATAACTTCACGAACATATATCTATATAATATTATTATATTATTTTAATTTGAAAAATAATTATGTATTATACTTTTTAATTATGTAAAATTAAAAATGTTACTTTATGAATATTTATTTATGTGTTTTTTTGTTTTTGAATTTTTTATTAAAAATATATTTTCCGGATAACAACACAATATCTATAAGAATTATCTTTTTTTTTAAATATATATTTAGATTATGGATAATTCTTATCATTATTATTAATTTAAAATCTAATCAAATAAGTATTAAATTTGTTTTATTATTAGCTGATTTATATATTATTTTCATTAAGGGTATAAACGATATTAACCGCTCTAACTTTCAACGTGAGAGCTCTGTTGTGAAAAATCACTTCGTAAATAATAGTATAGATAGTCACATGGTGCACAGATTTTCTTAGAAAACCTTCTAATAAAGAATTAAAGGACCACATTTTTCACGTTATTAATCACTTTAATATTTATTCCAAGATTTAA